ATGACTATTGAAAACAACAAGAAGACGCGGCTCAGAAGGGAAATCGTGTAGTTCTTCTAGGGAGCGTTGTCGCCTTTCTTGAAGAATAAGACCACCGCACTTCTGCTTCACGCCTCCGAAATAGTACCACTATGGACGACGGAATTAAAGAGCTTCTGAAGGACTTTAAGTAACGGTTTTCCAAACGCTTTCAGAAGCTCCGCTGTAATTCCACCCTTGCCCGGGGACTTGCCGTATTTAAGGTGCTGGAGAGCCATTCTGATGTCGCTCAGACTTCCGTTCGGGATATCATCGGAATAGTGTCGGATAAAACTTGTTCATGGATCGTTACTCACACTTGCATTTGTCTCCAATAATGACGTGTAAAGCTGCCCATAGACCCTCTCAATCTCACTCAAAATCTCAGGTGTCCCGGAAACAGGCTTACGTGGTAGAGCCATGCTGCAGCTTTATTAATAGTATAGTTGTAGCACGAATGGGTCGGCACGACAGGGGAAGGACCACGCTCTCACAGAATACCAGCGTAAAGTAGCAGCTTAATGCTGCTGTGTTTTATATGGTGAGTGTAGAGAATCGGAGACCCTCTTTACTGGAAAAGAGGCATTCTATCTTAGTCCTCACGACTGACAAAGCATCTGCATTTTAATTCGCAAACGAAAATAGATGTAGATGTATATGGGCCACAGCAACCACTTACCTTAAGGTGGACTGTGTGCTCGTTTGTCTCTACTATACTATATAATAAAAACAATGCTGCCACATTCTGTCTTCAGCTTTGACAGTTGGCTCTTTCTGGCAGACAGATCTCTGGCAATGACTTTAGATACTTGGTTTCACTGGATCGCTTCTTCAATACGAGCTCTGTCTTTTCAGTTGCCTGTAAGCTATCGAATCTTCTGATGACTGTAGTTTCATCTCCCGTCTAACAGTCATGAGATTAAGAGTATGATCGGAGTTTTGTGTTCGTCTGCAACGGGTCTTACAGAAATTAGCTCCGACCGCATTGATAGTTTCCACAAGCTTGTCATTTATTGCAGTTTTTTAGACACTGAAAACAATTTTGTAATTCGAGCTGAATGTTTTCGGGGCTTTGGATTAGAGCACGAGGGGACTAAGCGTTGACTTCATTAGACGTGACCTCTCCAACTTAACGTTTAGGTTCAGTGTGCCTTTCACCATCCTTTGATCGCTGCCAGTTTTAGCCCTCGCGATCACTGAGACATCACTCTCTACAGTTGTTGTCTGGTCATTGTAATGAAGTCAATCTCAATTTTTGTCAAACTGTCGGGGCTCATCCAAGTCTACTTTCTGTAGGCCCGTTTTTGGATGAAAGAGTTCATCATAAAGAGTACCTCTTTGTCCGTAAAGTCGGCCAGCTGCTGGCCTCTTGGGTTCTGTTGCCCTATTCCGAATTTCCCTACTTTCAGCTCACCGTTCTCTCTTGTTCCTAGTTTTGCTTTGAAATCTCCGATTAACACCGTATAGTCGTTTTGGAGGAATGCATGGCTCTAGAGATATCCTCATACATTTCCTCCACCTCCTCATCGGGGTGTGCCGAGATTGGTGCGTAAACCTGTACGACCTTCAGCGAATACCGTTTGGTAATTCTGAGCATAAGGTTTGCAACCCTCATCGACCCACTCCCAAACTTTACAACGTTGTTAACGAGAGAGATGACAGGATGAAATGGAACGATTTGCAATAATGCAAATTTCCTACAAACCTCCGATACTGTTTGCCCATTTCGGTCTGAGTATTTACATCTATTATATACGAGTGAGCCGTGATAGCTCAGGGACTAAGCGTTCGCTGTACATTTGTAAGCGAGCAAGCTAAGTTTAATCCCCGCCTGTACCAATGAAATCGTCAGTTGCAATTTTAATTTCTGTTTTACCACGTGATCTGCAGTGAAGAAAAACATCGAGAGGAAACCTCCATGTTTGAGAAATTAAAAAAAAACTATTTGGAAGGGCACGTGAAGTCTGCCAACACGTATTAGAAGCAGCGTTGTGCACGTTTCCTTGCCCTAAAACTCTCTCTGAAATGATAGGAGCCCTGTGCCCACAAGGAAGTTTATAGGATGTAACTTTTTAAACGAGGTAGGTAGTTATATTGGTATTTATGGGAAGTAATAAAATCTTTATGACATTTAAATAATCTGCAGCGACACCCATAGATCGAAATATGGTGTTGGATTTTCATAGGCCACCGCCAAATGGAAAGGAAGTTAAAATTATGATATGAAATTACTAAAAATGTGTTATCTCTATATCTTATTTATCATCATTCCATTAAAGTTTAGTTTTTTATAAAATAAGGGCGACAAAGAAGTGTAAATTCTATCTGATGGTATGTGAATGTTGTAGACCGTAGACACTTTAAATGTAGAAGCGTTGTCACTCCTGCGGAATAAAATAGAATGCCTCGATACCTGAGAAAAGGGCCTTCGCTATTCTACATTCACGATTAATGTATACTTTAATTATTTAACAATGTATATACACAGGCAATGGCGAGGACACATCATGATTAGAGTTTGTACAAGGGCGTTAATTATTTCATAATTAAATTTCTTCCAGTATACCAGTTACAAATTTATATGATAAATAAAAGATGAAAAGGTTAGCACATTATATTTTATATGAGAACCATTCTAACTAAGCCTTTTTTAATTAATAAGTAGCCTTATAGCCGAGGGGAAAGTGCCATGTATTAAAATTCCTTATGCAGAGAAATTCATGTAATTTTGAGTTAGATTTAAAGGTAACAAGCCCAGAGCCGTTAGATGTTAGTATTATGCAACACCACGTGATTTTTCAATATAAGCTTATAATAAGCTTATGATGGCCATCAGTTTTATCGAAATAGTTTTTTTTTATGGAATTATGGTGATAAATGAGCACAAAGTCCCACTGATGGTAAGTGCTTGCTGTGACCCATAGACATCTACATATATCCTCAATAAAGAATCAAAATACAAATGCGTTATCACCTGTGAGGACTAAGAAGAGATGCCTCTTTTCCAGTAAAAGGGGTCTCCGGTTCTCTACACACTCTATACGAAACACAGCAGCGTTAAGCTGCTATTTACGCTGATATTCTATGAGAGCGTGGTCCTTCCCCGGTCGAGCCGACCCATTCGTGCTACAGCTATACTACTAATATAGCTGCAGAATGGCTCTACCACGTGTATTGTTCAACAGTAACTTTAAAAAACTTCCGACAGATGACATCCGATATCCACCTCGTTTGTTCCAAATATAAAACGCCCAAACCGACGATGTACAACAGCGTAACTTTTTTTTTAAAGTAGACTTTTAGTAAAGTATTCTTCATCTTAGTACTTCTAGAAGTATTTCTGTACATCCTTGTCTCCTTGATGTCATGTTAATTTATCATTCCATTTTGCATCCCTTTTAGAGCTCAAGCCTATTAAATCCTCATTTGCATTATGTTATTCGCTTTTGAGTACCTCTTCCAGAGAATATGCGCTCTGTTGAACTTGTCTTTAACACGTAATTTCTATCGGAATGGAAAGAGTCAAATTAAAAGTATTTTGCAGGACAATTTGACAACGGAGTCATTCATTACAGCCTATACAAGTCCACTTATGACCGTAGACCGGCCGAAAGGAATGCCTTAAAACACGGTCCTGAGCCACCTATATTCATCGACTTCCCGCATCTCTTACTAAGTCGTCACTCCATTTTGTATGGTGCCAACCTTTTTATCATGGGGAAATCCTCGTGGATACCTTCGCCTGCACGGGCAACAGAAAGGTTATGCGGAACTCCTACCGACTAAAATCCCACGGTGGTGCCCTCACAACCTAGTAACAACTAGAAAAGTTGTTACTAGGTTGTGAGGGCACTGCAAACTTTATAGACGATATTATTATCCATGGATCTGACGAGCTTGAGCATGACCGACGACTCGACAAAGTACTACGGGTGTTGAAGGAAAACAATGTTCTTCTCAACCAGGCTAAATGCATCTACAAGACAAACAGGATTGAATTTTTAGGACATCAATTAACGGGAAATGGAGTAAAGCCTCTGGACAAATACATGAAAGCAATTCAATCTTCACAAAAGCCTTCAAATATCGAAGAAATACAGAGTTTTCTTGGGCTAGTCAATTATGTCGGAAAGTGGATACCCAATTTGGCTTCGCTTACAGAACCCCTTCGGAAGCTGATACGCCTTAAATTGGGTAAGTCCACTAACATTCAAAAATATTGGACAGGCACCCAGGACAAGGCATTTGAAAACCTTAAGAGACAACTCTCGAACATACCAACGTTAGGCTATTATAACCCAGCGGATAGAACGCAAATAATAGCTGACGCGTCTCCAGTTGGACTAGGAGCAGTACTTATTCAAATTGATGGTAACGGTCCCCGCGTGATAGCGTTTGGTAATAAGAGTCTTACTGATTGTGAGAAAAGATACTGTCAGACGGAGAAAGAAGCATTAGCACTGGTGTGGGCCATAGAACATTTTAAAATATATCTATTGGGCAAAGAATTCGAACTCATTAGTGATCACAAGCCCCTAGAAGCTATTTTTGGGATCAGATCTAAGCCTTGTGCACGCATAGAGCGCTGGGTTCTGCGGCTGCAGGCTTACAAGTACAAGGTTATTTACCGTCCAGGCAAACAAAATATCGCTGACCCTATCTCCCGACTTTGTGAATCGATTCATCCGGTACCATTCGATAATGAAAACTATATAAATGCAGTGGTAGAATACAGTAGGCCAATAGCAGTACCACTAAATGAAATTGACATAGCTAGTGCATCAGACAAGGAAATTGAAGCACTAAAAAATGGAGTTTTCGACAACAAGTGGGATGAATGTGTAAATGCTTATAAGACTTTCCAGTCGGAGATTTGTTTCCATGGAAACATAGCCCTAAGAAGAAGCAAAATAATTATCCCTAAACAGCTACGTGACAGAGTACTCGAGGCTGCCCATCAAGGACACCCTGGCATTGTTGCCATGAAGACTCGCCTCAGAACAAAGGTTTGGTGGCCGAAAATTGATAGAGATGCTGAAAATCGAGTCAAAGCTTGCAAAGGGTGCACACTGGTTTCAGCACCCAACCCGCCCCATCCGACAAAGAGACGAGAACTTCCAGTCGAGCCTTGGATTGACGTAGCAATAGACTTCTTAGGACCCCTGCCATCAAATGATTATTTACTTATCCTAGTCGATTACTACAGTCGCTACAAGGAGATAAAAATAATGAGAAATATTACCGCTATAGAAACGGTTAAGAAACTCAAAGAAATATTTTCCCGACTAGGATACCCTGCGACGCTAACATGTGATAATGGTAACCAATTTACTAGCGAGACCTTCAAGGCATTCTGCAAGGAGTGCGGCATTGTAATGTACAACACAATTCCTTACTGGCCACAGATGAACGGAGAAGTCGAGCGCCAAAACAGAGACGTGCTTAAGCGGCTCAAAATAAGCCAGTTAGAAAAAATGGAATGGAAAGATGACCTTTTAGAATACCTCATTATGTACAATAGCACCCCTCATACGACAACCGGAAAAACTCCCGCCGAACTTTTCTTTCGGAGACAGTTTCGGGATAAAATACCTATGGCAGTAGACATAGAACATAAAATTATAGATCCGGATGTAAGAGACAGGGATAAAGAAAAAAAAGAAAAGGGAAAGGAATATGCGGACAGGAAAAGGAAGGCAGTAGATAGTTATTTTGAAGTCGGAGAGAAAGTATACGTAAAAAATATGACTAAAGAAAATAAATTGACTCCTAATTTTAACCCAGAGACCCATACAGTAACGGATGTAAATGGTGGAGATATTAGGGTAAGGAATGATTCAACAGGAAAAGAATACCGCAGGAATGTTGTTCACCTTAAAAGAGTAGAAAACGGTGAGTGGAAAATTATCGATCAGAGTGCAGAAAGTGAAACACGTCCAGAAGGCAGCCAACACGAAGACTGATGTCTATTATATTTTAATTTAATTAATGTTTGAATCTGATTAAAAGTTTTTCAAGGTAATATTAACAGTTGTTTTATTTTAACAAGGAAGGGATGTAGTATACAGCATTTTAGTGGTGGGGATATGCGATCGTCTAGTTACAGTAGATAAGCGGTGGGGACGGAGGACAGTCAACTGTGAACGGCCGTGGCGTGCGGACGTATTCGGTGTGCCTTTAACTAACGGAGTGATAAAGTGTACCTATACTTAGTGTGAGTGTCTCGAGCATTCTACAATAACCAACACCAGAATTGAGTAAGAATGCACTGATTAGAAGCCTATTTATTATGTCGAAAGGCTTATGTATCGCAGTAGCCTTACAAATGCTTTTAGGTCCATTAGAGACCAAATGACAAAATGTGTTCAACGATTAGCTTTTTCATGCAAATCTATAGTCTATGCATAAAATAAATCTGTAGAAAAGTCATGTGTGTAATTCTAACATATACAGGAAAAAACACGTCCAGCATACTAAATAAAATGATACTGAAGACTAATAAGTGCTATTTAGAAACATTTAGAAATAGACAAAGTCTGTATTTGTGGCATTCTTTGGGGAGGCCTATGTTCACTTGTGTGTATGGACTCGTGAAAAGATGATGATGATGATGTCGGTCCGGGTAAATTTTCGGAATGGCTGAACCGATTGTAAAGAAACTCTTTTAAATAAATAATAAATAAAATAAAACAGCCTTTTAATTCCTCATTACATACACTTAATAAATTTGTTACAAAATCAATTTTATAATTTTAAGTACATGCATCATTATAAATTTAGAAGAACATTTAATTGGAAATTTCATTTTTCATTGAATTTGCTTTTATTTTAAATAATTTAATTTTTTACATAAAACAATTTATATTATTAGTACAACTTTTTCAACATTTTTTATACCTAATGACGTCCTAATAATAGGAGTGATTTAACCCTATTTAATTTGAAAAAAAATCGGATAATTAGGAGGATGAAATTAAGACGAGTGGCTAGTTTTAAATATGAACCAATCAAAGTAAATAAAATTTCGTAGTTATGATACAGAGACATAGGCTTTCTCATAGTCCACATACGCCAGACTATGTCTGGCGTATGTTGACTATGAGAAAGCCTTTGATTCCGTCGAAATTTGGGCGGTGCTGCAGTCCCTTCAACGGTGCCAAGTTGACTGTCGGTATATCGAAGTGTTGAAGTGCTTGTACAGTAGGGCTACGATGGCTATCCGAGTACAGAACCAGAGTACGAAACCTATCCAATTGCAGAGAGGTGTAAGACAGGGTGAAGTCATATCCCCGAAACTCTTCACCGCTGCATTGGAAGACGTTTTCAAGCTTCTGGACTGGAAAGGATACGGTATAAACATCAATGGCGAGTACATCACTCACCTTCGATTTGCCGACGATATATTCCTTATGGCAGAATCGCTGGAGGACCTAAGCACTATGCTCAATGACCTCAATAGTGTTTCCCAACGGATAGGTCTTAAGATGAACATGGACAAAACAAAGATCATGTTTAATGTCCATGTCACACCTATGCCGGTAGTTGTTGGGAACACTAAGCTCGAAGTTGTTGACGAGTATGTTTACCTGGGACAAATAGTCCGACTAGGTAAGTCCAACTTCGACCGAGAGGTCAATCGACGGATTCAACTCGGCTGGGCAGCGTTCGGGAAGCTAAGACACATCTTCTCGTCAGACATACCTCAAAACCTTAAAATGAAATTCTACAACCAGTGCGTGTTGCCAGTGATGACTTACGGAACTGAGACGTGGTCCTTCACTGCTGGCCGGATGAGAAAGCTCAAGATCGCTCAGCGAGCTATGGAGAGGGCTATGCTCGGAGTTTCTCTGCGTGATAAACTTAGGAATGAGGATATCCGCAGTAGAACCAGAGTAACCGACATAGCCCAACGGATTAGTAAGCTGAAGTGGCAGTGGGCCGGCCATATAGCTCGAAGAACCGACAACCGATGGGGAAGAAAGGTTCTCGAGTGGCGGCCTCGTACCGGTAGGCGAAGTGTAGGGCGTCCCCCCACGAGATGGAGTGACGACCTGGTAAGACATGCAGGAAGTCGATGGATGCAGGTGGCTCAGGACCGTGCTTTGTGGCATTCTTTGGGGAAGGCCTATGTTCAGCAGTGGACTTGTGAAGGGCTGTAATGATGATGATGATGATGATGATACAGAGCAGCCATGTCAAATATGTGGCATCATCATCATTACAGCCCTTCACAAGTCCACTGCTGAACATAGGCCTCCCCCAAAGAATGCCACAAAGCACGGTCCTGAGCCACCTGCATCCATCGACTTCCTGCATATCTTACCAGGTCCTCACTCCATCTAGTGGGGGGGACGATCCCACCTGATGGTATGTGATGATGAAGCCTAAGATGGTGAAACGCACTGACTTAGCAAAAGGCTATTCACTCTTGCTTTTAAAACACCCACACTGTAAGCGAATGGAAAGACGTTGGCAACTTATTCTAGTCTTTTACTGTACGCATGATGAACGACGCAGCAAACCGATTGGTTCGAATGCATGGTAAGTTAACAACGTATAGGTGGAGACAGGCCGAACGTCTGGTTGTCCGATGGTGGAAGGGAGAGGGAGGAATTAAATTATGCAATTCCTGCGCACTTATATAGGAGACAGTCTTTAATTTACAATGAAATAGTGTTCTGTGCCACAGACATACATAACATATTCAATCGGCTGATGAGCAGTAGAAGAATATGTAGAATATGCTAATTAACTGTTAGTATGACATTTTTATTTTTGTAGCTCTTTAGCGAAGATGTAACCCAAATTCAAAGTAAATTTCTTGAGCTTTCCGTACTTCCTTTCGTAATGGAAACATTGATAACAGCTATACGTGTATAGTCGTTGTAACAAAATTGCTTTGCGCTCCGGCTCATCAGGAGTTTCATTAATACATACTGGAAACGCATCGTTACTATAGTCCGGACGTAAAATATGCAAAAGCCTATTAACCAAACTACGAGACAGTTTTTATAGTCTGTAATGAATGTATTCAAAACTACTAAGCCATAAATGCACTCACGGTTAGTTAAAGAAAAATAATATAAATTTAAATAACAAAAATGGTGCAAGAACAACAGTTTTTGTAATTGAAATTATAGCAAATAGCCGTGTAAAATCATAACACCATACGGATAATAAAAACAAATGATCTAGTTGAAATAGTTAATCATAATCAATAAATAAGCATAGCTGTGCCTTTTTGTGTAAAGATAATTAAAAGTTATGGTAATTGATGATGATTTATTTGTACTTTTAATTGTCGCGAAGATCTAATAATAATAATTATGTCCTACAGACCGAATTTCGGTCACAGCGGCCATTCTCAACGGAGACTAGCTGTTCGCGCCAAACACTTTCAAGGATTGACGCGAGAGGGCGCCCGGCGCGGTGCATTCATACCGGTTTAACTTTCGGTCGTCGCGTCGGTCGCGAAAAACGCCCAAGGGCAATCAGTCGTCCTTAGGAAGTGCTCACGATTGGCACTCTGTCATTCTGTTAGGGAACTCGGAATAATTAGGTTCGGCCCGTAAATATACGGTCTAGGATTTTGTGACGCGCATTCCTGCTCGAGAGCTTCCCGGGACTTATTGGGTCCGACTCAGAATCTGTATAAGTGCATCGACAATATTAGCTAGTGCGGCCTCTGATATTCTAGAACTAACTGTTGCAACGCGAAACGGTAGCGACCTTTGGTCCAGAGGCTCCGTGTGCGTTTTGTGCGGTAACCTTATACCCCGCGATAGTTAGTGGCTTCTGTAAGTTAGTTAATTGCACGATAGAGTTAATTGACTGTCATCGTGACGAAAGAGGAAAGTGATTGTGGTCCGGCGCCGAAGCAGTCTGAAGCGGTGCAGCATTTTGGAGCAGCCTGGAACTCGGCCGCGGCTGGTCGCCTATGCTTGACAAGGCCCCAAACATTCACACCTCACTGTATACTACTCGCCATCCACTATTACACACACTCACGGCCTACCCAAGCCTTAGTGCGAAGTTAGCTTCGGATAATGGTAAGTACTATGTCTTTCTAACGTCCTCCCATCTGGTTTATTGTAATTAGGAATTTCCACGTGGCCACATTGAGGCCCGACCTACGTCTGCTCGAGAAGTCTTCAGCTCATGGGCCCCTGAGGGTTTGACCCTTTAAGGGAGCAGCCGTAGGCCGTAACACTAGCCATCGGCGCAGGACGGGATTATAGTGTCCAAGTGTATGCGCAAATACGGGTCCACCCTCTATTCCCTCACTTTCAAAGTTCGATGGGACGATAAATCGTCACGACCGGAGATAGATCAGACGCAGGACCAAGGCTTTACGTGCTTTCCGAGGCACGGGGGTGAGACACCGCCAATTTCCTGACTCCGGGCAGCTACTGAGAATTTCTTGATGGAAAAGCTCAATAACTGATTTTTTTGGCCCGACCCGGGATTCAACCCGGGGCCTCATGATCAGCAGTCGCACTACTGCAACCACTAGACCAACGATACAGTCAGTCGCGAAGATCTATAAAGACACTATTCTGTATCAAAACATACATATAGGTAGTTAGTTACACAGACAAACTAACAAACAAATAGACGGGTCGATAAACGAATATATAGGATTGTGTAGTCAGTAATACATATCACAAATTATATAAGGATGTATGTTAACAATTATTCATTGCGTTATATCATCCACCATTTTTGGCCTACAAATATTAAAAGTATTTAACTAGGTGGTAGAACTGCTTCTCTGCTTGGGATTACGTCTGGGTAGGAACCAACATCTTACCTGTTTCTGCTGCCAAATAACAATACTTGCTAGATCTATACACTCTATATCCAGAACGATCTGAAGGGTATCGAGAGCCAGTATAATTACAGCCTGCGAATCCAAATTTCGATGGAAGGTAGATTGTACTCTTCTGTCTTCTATATAATTTGC